GCGCGTGCCGCCTTCCATCCGCGGTCAGCCTCCACACCTCCCTCTCGCTCAACGCACGCCCCTGCTCGCCATCACGCGAGCTCCGACGAGGGCTCTCAGCGCACCAGCTCAGCCCCAGCGCTGCCCAGAACTGCGCCGCCGACGCCCTCAGCCGCCGCCCAACTCCCAACCTCCAGCTCCTTCTCTTCAATATATCCCCGACGGACTACCAACAACCCTTGATCGGCCCTCGACGTCACTCGTGCAGACAGCGCTCGAGCTGCGCTTCCTCGCGTAGCCGTCGAGCCATCGCCAACCAGCCCGTCGTCGCCCACCGTTGTCGCCGCTGTCCCAAACCTGTAGCCACCCCCATCGCCGCCAACAACCCCCAGCAGCCCGCCGCCGACGAGCTCGAATCAGTGAGCTCACTGCAGAAAACTGCAGCTCGGAGCCAACTTCGCACGCGTTTTCCGGCCAACTCCGACCTCTGTTCTCGTCGATTCCTTAGCCGGTGCGTAGCCCTTCGTGTTGTCTATCATGCGGTATACTCCTTTCACTTGGGCTCCCTATCTACACCTCGTTATACTCGTTTGAATATCACACATCGCATTAACACTCTAATTGTAATTTTAGCCGTCGATTCCGCGAAACCGTCGTAACGCTGTGCAACCACCCCGACGACCCCCTCTATGATCCACGATATACCCAAGGCAAGATCCCACTTGCTCACATCTGAATTTTATATTTATTATGAATTATATGTAATTTTAGATCTGTGATATAATTATCTGCGTGGGTTTGTTTGGTGAATAATATTAGATAAATCGTAACTATGTGATAAATAGTATTATCAGAATAATTATGATAAATTAAAAGAATTTATTTTGGTAGTAGAATCATTTTTGGATAATTATAATAATTAAAAGGAATTTATTTGAGAAAAAGAATTATTTTAGAATAATTATAATAAATTTTAGAAATTATCTTATGAAAGAAATTATTTTAGAATGATAAATATTTTTAAAAAGAAATTATTTTGGGAAAATAGGCTATTTTGAATTAATGGGAATTTATCTTATAAAAAGATTATTTTTGAATTTATGAATTTATTATTTAAAAGATTATTTTTAGAATTATTATAATGAGAAAAGAATTTATTTAAAAAAAGGAATTATTTTGAAGTAAATAAATTATTATTTTAGAAGATTATTTTAGAACAATTTTATGATTCAAATTCTTAATTTTGATTATCTGATATGCTATGATATTATTGTACCTGATTAGTTGCATTGATTGTTCCTTGTTGTGACTGAGAATCGTTATGAGTTTATGACTATTGTGACCTGTGTGACATGAATAAGACTTAGAGACTTGTGTGTTGTTGACTTAGCAAAACGAGAAGAATTAGGATAGGAAAGTCCGTGTTCATGTGATCGGATAAGACTGTTGATGTATCTTCCAGGCTTGCCCCATGATCTTGTGTAACATTGGGGTTGGTTTGTTGGGTCAAAGTGAAGCTTGTGTAGTCACTTTGGTCCGTGATTTTGACATTCACCCGAGTTTAGCTTGAGTCCGAACCAGGCTAAAATCGGATTGCGTGTAGCCCTTTGACCGATCTTGTGTAGCGGCGTATTAGGTGCACGCAGGGGATTTGTGAATAGTCAGTTATCCGATGATATGAGCGTTGACTCTGTGTGAGATGTGAACCAGCGACCTATTATAGGACGGCTAGTTACATGACCTCGTTTCTTGGCTAGGTATGATTTCTTGGGAGATACGGACCAATTATATTTCTTTTCATACATAGATCGGGATTAATATTTAATTATCTACAATTTGAGACTATGGTATATACATGAGGGTTTCCTTGTTTGGATTATTTCGCTCGACGTACTACGTCTCTTATTGTAGATTTTTAAGTATTAATTCCATCTAGTGTATAACCCTGTACTTGGATGATTATTCTGATCGCTAGCGACATGATCGACTTGTTACTTGGTTGATTTCCTTGGATTTATTCTGATTATTCTATTTTCTAATAGTAAATTATATTTATATTATTAGTATTTTAGTTGCATGTTTCCATTGTTATTACCATTATTGCATTGGTCGCACGACCGTTTCTATTCTTCCTTTTGGGATCTTGCCGTGTGCCATGCACGCTGACGTACGTACTCCTTTCCTCTCGAGATGTACGTCAGATATAGAGGACATACAACTACAGTTCGGAGTAGTACAGGAGCCAGAGGATCCTCTGCAGGAAGGCTTTGCAGACGGAGTAGAAGAACAAGTCGAAGCTTAGTTACCTCTTTATAGTTAGCTGATGATCCTAATTTACTTCCCCGTACTTTTATTTCTGTTGGTCGATGTACTAGTTTTATAGTTTTGTATAAGGGCATGTTTGGCCCGAATATTATGTCTGGATGATCATTTCAGTTGTGATATGTATCTTTTAGTTCTGAGTTGTTTATTATATTCTCGCCACTGTGATCGGGGACCTGTGCCTTCGTTTTATATTTGCTTGACGCTTAGCGTATTAGATTGAGCAGAAGGGGTTTAGTACTTATTTCTCCTCAGTCTAATACGTCGCGAGCTTGTTCACTTTCCGATTTCCTGGTATTTTGGGAAGCGGGGCGTAACAAAAGGTAAAGTTATACTTGTGTAATACTCTCTTTTTTTAAGAGTTTCCTTACCTTCTCTTACACCCCAATTTGAAGGGGAATAAAATCTCAAGTTTTTTTTCCCCAATAGTTACTTTAACCTCCTTCTATTATCTATTTCAAATAAATTTCTAAATAAGGTTAATAAGTCCCCTACATTTTCTTACCTCACATTAACACCAATCCAAACAGGCCCTAACAGATCGTGTCGAATTCAAAATATGTTCATCCGAGCCGTATCCGGTAAGCATTATAGGATTCATACTCGAGGCGAACCCCCCAAAAGAATTGAATTAGAATTCATTTTCTTGGACTGTCTTTCTTAAATTTGTTTTACAGAATCCATTACATGTTCTCATAACCGCATCTCAATGGTTGAGAATTAATCTCAACAATCAATGGCTGAGTTTCTCACATTCATTTGTGTCATCTAAAACAAAGAAACTCCTCCCGATGAAATACATGGCGAACTCCTGAAAACTGACATCTCGAATGATACTGAAAAGGAGCATAAGACTGAACATCTGGACCTGTGACTTTACACAATAATGCACAACTAAGAAACCTACATTTCATTGTTAAAAGGCAAGGAATTGTCTTTCATTAAAATGTGAATATACAAGAGAAGCTTATACTATTAAGGTTTGAAATAATCATAAGGTTTGAACAATCAGTAGGGTGTCAAACTGTACATTCTATGGAGTTTGAGAATAAATGATAGCAAATAACAACAGGGGAAATTGCTTCTAGCCCCCTATATCCTTACAAGCACCCCCCCAAAAAAAAAAAAAAAAGAAATTTTCAACACTCCCAAAACTCCCAAAAGCAAAGCCACAATTCTCTGAGCCCCAAAAACACAAAACCCAAGAGTTTAAAATATGTAAAGACTATAATATCCTCTTCGCTCTCTCTCTCTCTCTTCATGATATCACTATGATGATTTGAAATGGGTTTTTGGGGGAAAATTCTAGTTCCCTCCAAAAATTTCCAACGGCGTCGACATCGGCAATGAAACTTTCCCGACGTTCATTCATGAGGTGAAGAAAACTGTGATCTTGAAGACGGTGACGACGAGTTGCCATGGATTCAGCGTCGCCGTTTCGAAGAAAAAGGCGGGAACTCCGACGACTCACGGTATAATTTTTTTCTTTTTTAACTTGTACTTGAATCTGAGTGCTATATTTTTTTGTTATTTTACATATTGTTGTAATTTTTTTAAAATCGATGACTTGAGATTAAAGTAGAGTCTGTAAATTTAGATATTATTGTTATTTCACTATAATGAGTTTGTTGTTAAGCTTATGTGTTGGTTTTGAAGGTTACGAGTTGGTTGTGAAGTTTACGAGTTCGTTGTTAATGTTACGAGTTGGTTGTCAAGGATAGGAGTTGGTTGTGAATGTTACGAGTTGGTTGTGAACCTCGATAAGGAGTTGGTTGTGAAGGTTAGTTAACAACAATCACAATCAGCTCATTGCCGAAGTTCACAACCAACTAATAACCTTCACAAACAACTCGTAACATTTACAACAAACTCATAATTAACCTCCAGAACTAACGCATAACTTTCACAACCAACTCGTAACTTTGACAATCAACTCGTATCCTTCACAACCAACTCCTAACCTTCATAACCAACTTGTAACCTTGACAACCAACTCGTAAACTTCACAATCAACTCGTAACCTTTAAAACCAACACGTAACCTTCCTTCACAACCAACTCATAACTTTAACAACAAATTACTCATTACAATGAAATAACAACAATATATAAATTTACTGACTCTACTTTAATCTCAAGTCATCGATTTTAAAAAAATTACAATAATATGTAAAATAACAAAAAATATAGCACTCATATTCAAGTACAAGTTAAAAAAGGGAAAAAATTACATTGAGAGTCGCTGGAGTTCCCGCCTTTTTCTTCGAAACGGCGAAGAACTCATCATCACCTTCTTCAAGATCATAGTTTTCTTCGCCTCATGAACAAACGTCGGGAAAGTTCCATCGCCGATGTCAACACCGTTGGAAAATTTTGGTGGGAACTAGAATTTTTCTCCCCAAAACCCATTTCAAATCATTACAGTGACATCATGAGAGAGAGAGAGAGAGAGAGAGAGAGAGAGAGAGAGAGAGATGGTATTATGGTCTACACATGTTTTAAACTCTTGGGTTTTATGTTTTGGGGCTCAAAGAATTGTGGCTTTGCTTTTGGAGGTTTTGGGGGGGGGGGATACTTGTAAGGAAATTGGGAGCTAGAAACAATTTTCCGATAACAATATCATCGATGATAATATTCTCACATGTTTGAACTTTTGAAGGCAGTTGATAAAGAAAGAAAGACAAGTGCTTAGACTTCATATCATTCAGGTTAAGAATCAAAGACGATGCAATGCGGTATAATACAAGAGCAGCTCAGGTGCTAATTAATCTATGCGAAGAAAAGCACAGCTTTAATCACCTGAATACCTTGATAATTTTCCAGCTAGCCAGTTCAAATATCGCCAAACACCACTTCTTGTAGACGCACATATGCTAAAACTAATTATTTTTCCACTAAATGTGGTTTTCTCTGATGTTTTATTAACTAGACCATTTGGCCTTATTCACATTTTTATCCACTATTTCATCAACAAAAAACTGGTCCAAGTTTTACCGGTGAAATCACTGAAATATACCTCTAACTTATAAATTTCAAGCGGAGGATGCAATGCAAGGACCTGGTATCGAATCCAAAGGAGATGCTAGGACTGGCTTCTGTGGAATTGACAATTCATCCGTGTCTCCTTCCAGCATATCAACCACCCTAGTCATTGTGGGTCGGTCGTCTGGCATAGTTTGTATGCACCAAAATCCAACGATCATCATCTTCCTTGCGATTTCTTCAGTCTCATTCGTTACTCCGATTTCTTGAAGATAATCCCCATTGTCGATGTGCTGATAAATCGATTGAGGAAAGTAAGCTTCACTATTGCTCTCGAATCTTGTATTGGTGCTATTTTTGCCTTCAAATATATGAAGAATCATCATGCCGTAGCTATAAACATCAGACTTACTAGAGACAACACCAAAACTTCTCGACCATACTTCGGGTGCAATGTAACCTGGGGTTCCTCTAAATCCATACATTGATACTATACTTTGTTTTGGAGGGCACAGTTTGGACATCCCAAAGTCTGCAATCTTTGGGCAGAAATCTTCGTCTAGTAGGATATTGTGAGGCTTGATGTCAAAATGAACAATTCGATTGTTACATCCTCGATGCAAGTATTCTAGCCCTCGAGCTATACCAACTACTATCTCGTACAACTTTTCCCATCCTATTGAAGCTTCTCCCGTAGGATTCTTCATTGAGCATATGTACTTCTCTAAAGAACCATTGGGCATGAAATCATAGATCAGTGCTCGTTTTGGCCCGTCAACACAAAATCCTCTTAGAGTGACAATATTTATATGAGAAGTATTTCCAATGGCAGCTACCTCATTGATGAAGTCCTCGCCGTTACTTTTAGTTTCATCCAAGACCTTCACAGCCACTAGATTGCCATCAAACAATTTACCCTTGTAAACACTGCCATAACCACCTTGACCTAGTTTTTCAGCCACTAGATTGCCATCAAACAATTTACCCTTGTAAACACTGCCATAACCACCTTGACCTAGTTTTTCACTAAATGACTTGGTTATTTTCTTTATATCAGAGTATGTATAACGTTTTGTAGCTAGAGAATGGTATTTTTTCAGAAAGGCTTCAATTGTTTGGGCATGCTTTGCTTTCTTCTTCCAAGAAAATAGTCCATAAGATATTTTCTGCCGGCGAAACAAAAGAATAAAAAGCAAGCTTCCTATGAGAAAGCTTGCTGTTCCAATAGATATACCTGAGAAAAGAGAGGAGAAATAAACAGTCAAAAGTTTAGTACCCGATACTGTTTTATGTCTAAAGGTCCCCCTCAGTTGTTAACGAAAAGGGGGAAAAAAAAAAACTTTCAAAAGTTCTGCTTAATTAGCGCTACAACTATATTATGACTATAATTATTGTTTATGAAAAAAACAAGTTAGACATGCCACCAAGCAAATAATACAACTATATTATGACTATAATTATTGTTTATGAAAAAAACAAGTTAGACATGCCACCAAGCAAATAATGATAGTTTGTCAAAGCAGACCAATAAGTTTAATTTCGCTCTGGATCAAGTTATACTCAACAGATATTAAAAATATTTGTATTAGTCTAATTTAGGCTTCTTAAAGCATAGCTTAATGACTCACCCAAAAAAAAAAGTATAGCTTAATGACATAAGGGACATGCTGACAAACATCGAATATCAATTATTCTTCATTCTGCTTCAATTTATATACCACTATGCTGATCTATCATTGTGTCAGGCAAGGAATCAAAATGAGTTATTCAATACGAAAAGCTTTTTAAATCAAGCCTTGGCTGCAATTATCGACATGTCACAAGTTATGATTATATACGACTATACTGAGCTTTTTGACATCTTAAACTCAAAGAATTTCACCAACAAAATCTTGAAGATTTAATGTTGCTAGTTAAAGCAGTGGTGAGCTACTTTATATACGTATTAGCATTATCCTATTTCGTGTCTATACGTACTATGGAAAATTAATGGAAACGTAACTGATACTTTGTATGTTGGAAAAATTGCAATGAAAAGAACAAAAGAAAATTGACTTGTATTTCTTTGATTCCAATTACAATTCGATTACAAAAGAGAAGAGAACGAATTTGGTTCTCTCCTTTGTTTAAAACTGGGTTCTTCAAGGTAGCGATGGAGTGCCTCCCTCGAATGCTCGCGTCGAGTTTGCTCTCCGTTGACGATCCGAATATCTTGATTCACTGGAACGATGTCTTCTCCTCACGATTTGACGTTGTGGAGAACTTGCGTGGCAAGTTTTAGAACTCTGGACGAGTTGATAACTCTGAACGAGTTTGAACTCTTGATAAAGAGTTAATTTGAACCGAGAATCGGTTCTCAAGCCAAGGCCGAAGGCTTCAAGGAGTGCTCTAAAGGATGAATGCTGATCTCTCCCTTTGCTGCCAAGTCCCAGATCGGAAAATGCCAGCCGAAAAAGCCTTGAACTCCGGACCCAAGAAGCCAACCTTGAACTCAGTTGAGTTTACTTGCTTTTATAGGGGATTAAGGGGGTGTAACCACCCCTTAAATCACTCCTAAGTGGGGTGTAACCGTTCACAAATCATGGGAACCAGTTTTAGAACCGTTCAGCTCATGTTTGAACGAGTCAAACGTCCACATTGACGTTCAGAACCCTAACTTCGCATTTTAGACTGGAGACGCGGAGTTGGGTATCCGCTGGACATTGAAAAACGCGGGTCCGACCCCAGCGTTTTAATGTTGTAACGCGGGTCCGACTCCAGCGTTTTGATGTTGTAACGCGGGTCCGACTCTAGCGTTTTGATGTTGTAACGTGGGTTCGACCCTCGCATTTTACTATTGACACACGGGGAGGACCTCCGCGTTTTGGTGTTGATACACGGGGAGGACCTCCGACTGTTGACACACGGGGAGGACCTCCGCGTTTTGGTGTTGATACACGGGGAGGACCTCCGCGTTTTGGTCTTAGAGCGCAGTGATGAGTTCCGCGTCTTGATTTGGAGAGATTATCAATAAGTAATCTCTTTTGTCATAGCGTTGCAAAGATCATTGTCTTGTAATCTTCGTCTTGGCTCCTTGAGAATATGAGAGTCATCAGATTGTAACTCCCGATGTTGATTGTGAATGCTGTTGAACTAGAGCTCTCATCGGTTGTCGTGAAGGTCGTCAGATTGTAACCTTCAGCGATCTACGTGAAAGTCTTCAAATTATAGCATTCTGAAAGTCGTCAGATTGTAACTTCCATCATCGGTGTTTGATGGGGGATAAGCTATCTATTGTGATTTTTAGACAGCCTACATACTTCAATTTTCTTTGTGGATTTGAAGTACTTTGTGGATTTGAAAATTGCTCTTCGTGGATTCGAATAGCACTTGGTAGATTCCGAGTTTTTAACTTTCACGCTGTGTTAATTTATAAGACTTTTTTTTATTAAATTATCAATATATGCAAGTTATAGCTAGCAATTTAGATATATACCACGTTAGTAACATATCAAAGAATCCTAGGAAATACATCAGTCTCTGAGGAATTGAAGAGTACGAACCTCGTCGGCGACAGCTCGGCGACGGCGACCTCGACGGCGACGAGGGCCCACCTGCAGGTGGAGAGGCCGAGGAGAGAGCTCGCCTATTGCTGGGGCGTGGAGCTCGCTTGAGACGTGGTCGCCTGCGGGCGTGGAGAGGCGAGGGGAGCTCGCCTCCTCAAATTGAAGCTCGAGCAAGCCTGTGAACGCATATGAGCTTTCCTGCGAGTGGATGTAGACCTCACCTGCATGAGAGTGATGTCGATCTCGCATGTTCTAGTGGGAGTCAGCTAGAGACCTAGGGTTTCCCTATAAAAGGGAAACCCTGTTCACGAAATCAAGAGAGCTCTCTCTCTCTCGCGATTTTAACAGAGGAGATTTTTTCACCTCTGTGGCGGCGGCAACTTCTCAAGGGTTTTGAGAAGGGTTTTTTGAGAAGAGAAATTGAGCGGTGATTCACACGCGGTATTTTTAGAGATCTCAAGTTTGAGATCTTCTCTATTTCAAGCTTTGTAATTTCTTGTGGTTAAATAAAAAATTATTTGTGTGGCTCCCGTGAACGTAGGCAAGTTTACCGAACCACGTAAATCTGTTGTCTCGTCTCATTTACTTACTGTTTTATCTGTGTATTCGTTATTGTTTGTGATTGGTTGGTTTTGAGTTTGGCTTAAACTCAAGCTTGGGTTGTTTTCTCTCGGGATTAATTAGCTTCCGCGCCGGTGTGGGGGTCTCTCGCCCCTAACAATTGGTATCAGAGCCCTTGATCAGATTGGTGGTGGTAAAGCTTTCGATTTGAGGTGGTGTTTTGGGTATTGTGTGGTGCACACAAGATATTTGTTGGAATTTCCTGAGAGAAGCGGATTAATTAATACAAGGGGAAAATGACATCTACAAGTAAAACAGTCAAAGTTGAAAAGTATGAGAATGAGAAGTTCAATCGGAAGAATGATTTTTCTTATTGGAGGATGCAGATGAAAAACTTATTGATTTGGCAGAAATTGCACAAGACTTTGGCGAGAAGAGAAAAGAAGCACAAAGATATGTCTGATGAGGACTGAGAAGAGTTAGATCTTGAAGCATGAGCGTCGATTATCCTTTTCCTTAAAAGGAATATAGCTTTCATGGTAGATGGAGAGGAAACGGCTGCGGGCGTGTGATCGAAGTTAGAAAGCACCTTCATAACGAAGAGTCTAACGAACCAGATCTATTTAAAATCTAAATTGTATACTTACAAGATGGAGGAGGGCTCATCAATCCGGGAATACATCAACAAGTTTGATAGGATCATATCATACTTAAAGGACATAGATGTGACAATTGAAGACGAGGATCAGGTGCTTCTACTACTTTTATCTCTGCCGAAGTCTTATGAGAACCTGGTGCAAACATTGATGTTTGTGGGAGACTATTTGACGATGAATGAGACTAGAACGACGCTTCTAGCTGATGATCTTCGGAAGATTACAACTAGTGACATGGCTACTGGTGGTAACAAGGAACATGCATAAGGACTGTTTGCTAGAGGAAGGGGCAATGAGCGAAGAAAAGGCAAGGGAGGGAAGTCTAGATCGAAATTAAGACCTCTTACAGGAAGACCATGTTTTAAATGCGGTGAGGTAGGGCATTTCAAAGTTGACTGTCCTAATAAGAGAGTAGGTGGGAAGAAGAACAATAATAAAACCGAAAGAAGAGAAGGCAAGGAAGAGACGAGTTACGTCTCGGAGGAAGGGAACGACAAAGAATGCTACGTTGTTACGGGTGGCAAAGATATCTCCGATAAGTGGATTCTTGATTCAGGTTATTCTTACCATATATGGCCAAATAGGAAGTTGTTTACTACCTATAACAGCATTGATAGTGGAACCATATTGATGGGGAATAACCATGCTTGTAAAACGGTGGGGCTTGGTGATATAAAAATCAAGATGCATGATGGAGTGGTCCGAACCCTAACGGAAGTGAGGCACGTTCCCGACTTGCGGAAGAATCTTAACTCAGTCGGTGCTTTGGACTCCGGTGGTTGCAAGATAGTAACAGAGAACGGAGTAAAGAAGGTTGTTCGGGGTTCCTTAGTAGTGATGAAGGGCATTCGTCATGATAATCTATATATTCTCTCGGGTACGATAGTGATGGGAGATGCAGCGGTTGGAACTGAAGGAAGTGGTGGAGACCCATGTGAGTATACTCAGTTATGACATAGGCGGCTTGGGCACATGTCAGAGAAGGGTCTAGATCTGCTTGGTAAGGAAGGTTTGCTGAAGAACATGAAGAAACCTTGCATAGATTTTTGTGAGGATTGTATGTACAGGAAGGCGCACATGGTTCAGTTTCTGAGAAGCAAGCACAAGAGCAGAGGTATATTAGACTATGTGCATACAGACGTTTGGGGTCCGGCTCAGACAACTTCCTGTTAGGTCTCATGTTATGAGCCTATATCTTCTAATCTTGTTTTGATGATTACAAATAATTCCTAATGTTGTTTGTCTAGTGTTTGTGTTTCTTATTAGGTATTCTAGACAAACAACGATGTTGGAGGATGGACAAAATTGTGCATTCACGATCAAATCCAATGGAGGTTAACGGAATAGTGGAGTGAAGCAATGCAATTCATAGTTGAAGATCCAAGTTTATGCTTCATCCGTAAGTGTACCAAGTTGAGCTACATCGAAGATTAAGATAGCTTGGGTAATTTAGTTTAGGTTTTATATTATGTGTGTTAAGTACTCTAAGCTCAATCATATACACACATACACGTTTTTGGTTTTGTATATATATAGTTATATGTTTTGGTTTAGCTATATAGATATGAAACAATATATATCTTCATATACACTTTTATATGTTTCATATTCTATTGAATTTGGAAAAATATTATGTTTTAGTTTATAGACTTAACAAGTATAGTTTATACTTTTTATCAAGTCTATATAATTATTTTACAAAATTTAAAAACTTGGTTTATGTCAAAACATCAAATTTCAAGTATATCACATTTCCATGTTTTGGACCTTTTTTAAAAAAATGAAGAGATTACTCATTTGGGAGGTGTTTTTTAAAAACTAGTTTTTTTTAGCATGTGTATTTTCATGTCTACAATCATTTTTCAAAGTTTTACATTTTTCTAATTTTATTTGCTATTTTTAAAAGGAGTTTAAAAATCAGATTTTTAGTTTTGAACAGGCTGATAACCTGTTATCAGTCGACTGATGATATCAA